ATCTGGATGAAATTTGGCACAGGCATAGGATACAATCCGGAATAGGACAAAGGCTACTATTTATCAACATACCGGGTGAAGCTACGGGCGCAAGCTAGTTTTTTTATAAAAAACAAAACACCTAGCTTACTTAGAATTCTGCAAGTACTTACCTAGTACATAAATAAAGACCTAAGCTAGTGTAAGCACTAGTATTGTTGGTTAAAGGCTATAAAACTTACGCTAGTACTCAAACGTAAAGCGTAGGTTAGATGACCTAGTTATAGGACCTGCACGGAACTAGGCACAAACTAACAATGCCTACTATTAAGCCTAGTACTTACCTAGGTAGTATGGGGAACTAGGCTCCAGTACAATACTTAGATAGCTAGATAGCTACTTATATGGAGAAAGCCTTCAGTTGTACTTAGTATAAACTACTCAGAAGAAAATCTTATCTCCCAATGTTAAAAATGGCTCAGTAAAAATCGTCAACTTCTAAATTTTAATGTCAGAAACAAAACAATACAGGATTGTGATTCTGTAGTCTATAAGATCTCAACTTCGAATCTGAATCCGCTGTGAGTAGTAGTACACTAGCGCTACACTTGCGAGTTGAAGTAAATTGACAGCAACATTTTGATAGATAAAGTATGAGATGACGTTAAAAGTGATATTCTAAAATTTAATTTCCCCGTCATTTCGATGCTCACTTCACACTCGAACAAGATTCAAAATCAAACAAAAATTTTATAGAATCGACGAGCTGTTCATTTCACCAAAGTTAATTGAAAGAAGTTATTTCAATAGTATTGAATTATAAACACGGAATCCTAAGTACGGAAGCCTTCATAAATGATTGTGTAACAATCCCTACCTACCATCCACATCAGCTACCTAGAAAGCAAGACAATAATAACAAACATAAATCGAATTGTCCTAAATAAAAAATCAAATAACCTTTGCCGATTAGTATTCGAACACGATTCTCAGAAACTAAGGATGAGTACACACATTAAAACAAACTTAACGAAGCTTAAGAGCAAAGAGAATATAACCATGGTTATATTCTTAAGAGTCAGCCGTAGTTACAGTACAAGCTCAAAAATGTACCTCTCCCTCGGCCTAGCGTACAAGAAGGTGGTTTTTAGTCAGTACTCAGTACCTAACAGTAAACACTCCTTCTCGCCTCACCCAGGACAGAAGTCGTATGATGACTCCCCCCCCCCCACCCCTCCGCTTCGAAAAGAAAAAGAAAAAGGAATATTTGGTTTCTATAAAAAGTCTAACATACAGGTAATACAAGTGTGGTCGTGTTCAGACAGGGTTGCGGGGTAAGCGCAATGAGGCACCGCGACCTCGGCCTAGAGCAGGAAAAGGAACAGGGGGGTTTTTAGCCAGTAATAGTCAGACTTGTCCAAAGACAAAGTCATTTTGATGATTTTCCGCTTACAAAAAGTGTGCTCGTAATCAATAAATCGGATATTAAAAAATCTCAGACTAACTTAATCCTAACGTGTTAACAATTAGGCCTTATTGTTATGTTTTAAAATAATACAATTATTTATGTCCAAAGCTTTATATTATACTTAGCTTAAAACTTCAACCACAGTGGTCGCCTTCCAGGAAGCGTTTGGCAACACTTGTATGCGCTTGCGCACATTTATGAGTAACGCGGCGATCGCATTATCTTATTCTTACTGTCTTACACAAGATTTAAATATAATGCATTGCTTTGTCATTGTTTATTTTTTTTAAAGATTCTTCTTACATATTACATTCGGTAAAGTTACGACTGTACGTTTTAAGCTCCCTGTGCCGCGGCTAATTTATGGATGGGTGTCCGTTTTAAACATTCTAAGGATTTTTTTATTGAAGGAGAATATTTATTACTTTATGTGCGGCTGGAATTGTCAGGGATTTAATTAAAATCATTTGTCTGCTGAACTTTCTAATAGAAAATTTAATTGACTACATATATTTATAATCACTTATATAGGTACACTCACACACACAGTCAGATCGTAATAGAAGAATTAGGTACCAAAAGAAAGAAAACACTACTTTTATTCCTTATTTTTACATTTTACTTATATATTTAAAACATATTATCTATATCTATTACATTTAATCGTGGTCATAAATAAGGGACGTCAATTAAGTGTGCAAGAGTGAGACAAAAATATTAAAATTACTGTTTTAAAATCCACACATTAAACAAAAAACATTTCAAATAAAAATCTTTTTCACACGGGGACAGAGAATTCTTAGTTTCTCACCCAGCGTACCTGTTAAACCAGCATTTGTGTGATAATAAAAGGAATAAACAATTAAACAAAATCTCGGTGCGATCCGCTACCGGCGCATGCGCAGGAAACGGGAAACTGCACCAATTATATGCCTCAGCTTTAATTAGAAACATATTTTATTTTATTATAACACTGTTTTTTTAATAATATGTGCATTGATTTTTTATTGTGCCTTTAATAACTTATTACCTCCTGTTTTCTACATTTAAATTTTTTTTCGTTTTAAAAAGGAAAATAGGGATATTTAGCTAAGACTGATTCTAAGGCAAGGTATGTTTTTAAGTTTACTAAGTAAAGAAGGATTGAGAAAGAAAGAAAAAAAATGTGACAGATTTATTAACGTAATACATCTCAACCTTCAACATCTTCCCACGAACACAAAAAGTCATCCACACAATCATCATTGCATTTCACCAGAAAACCGAGAATTGAGACAGATTCACTTACAATTAAAAACTTCTTTGAAACACCCATTAAAATGGCGCACAAAAAAAAAACATAAGAACGAATGAAATGTCATCTAAAAACACTCTTTTATGGAGTCACAAACACACATAAAAGTCAATAGAAATCCTTCCTTTAATGTAAACAGTACGACAATAATTTAAAAATAATTTACAAACAAATACTATAATAAACCACTTGAGATATTTCTGAACGAATGTGTGCTTAAAGAAATTAAACAAACGGTACACGAACCTGTTACCAGATGAGGAAAATGAAACGCTTTACAGCCTCTAAAAAAACTAATTAGGTATACAACCTCACTCAAGCACAAAATAAAAAATAATAATGAAAAAATACCATGTTCTGTCATAATTCATAAATCAAATGCAACCTAAACATTTTTTAAAACAAAAAAAAAAGTTACAAAAATAATTCGAACGGACGATAATTGGTGTAGCCACCCTACAAAGTTGAATCGCGTAACCCAGGTAGCTCTGTTCCTTGGGCCCAATAAATACGTCCGACGTTGTTTTTTTTTCCATCTCGATGTCAGCCACGTTGGGACCAGAACCAGTTTTTATTTGCGAATACTGCCATCTCTTTCTTAAAGACCTTTTTTTGTGTATTTTTTCAAGTGGCCAGTTCACACTTCTTCAATTACGAATGGACTGTAGATAATTTAATCGAAAAACTTTTTGGTGATGGAGTGATACGATTTGAATGATTATTTTCACGCTACAAAAAGTCGTTTGTAAAAGTGCAGCCATTTTTTACATCATTCTTTCAAAAAAGGCTCAGAATTGGTCGTGATCGATCAAACTATATGCCTTTCGGCTTACGTAGCATGGTGTATATTACAATGCATTGGAATGTCTTTGAGTAATCAATCAGATAGTGGAATAAATTTTAACAAAAATATTTACCAGAAAAAAAATCAATTTTTTTTAACCAAGAGATGATACTATTCCTCTTATTTTTTCTATCAGAAAGCTTTCTTGTTTCTTGTAGGTCAAATCTATTTTTTGTTTTTCTTTTCTCAACGCCTAAAGGTATTTCGTTTATTTTTAAAGTTTATTCTTGAAAAAATATCAAAGAATGGATCGAAGTCTGTCGACGTTTCTGTATCTTGCCTCATTATTAAGATTACTGTGCTTAGTTAAAGGTTAAAAACAAAATAATTGTAACCGAAATTTTATTGTAAATTATTGTAATTGCCAATACAATAAACGTAAAAGTTTGTATGAATTGAAGTTTCTTACTCTTTTTTACACTGTCTCTGCCAGAAGCTAGTAAAAACAACAAATCAAATTCAAAAAAAGAACACAGCGCGTTCTCAAATACGCTGTGCAGCCATTACAATATGCGTTTATCTAACCTCCTTTCTAACATGCTCACAGCGAGCCGCCATAAAAGTGCGCATCAATAGAATTTTCGCATCGAATGTCTAAAACACCAGTTTCTTTTACAAAATGCCGATAGTAATATAATATTACATAAGAATATGCGTAATATAAGATGCCAATGAAGCATATAAGCACCCTCATTGTTCCGTCACATGTAGTTTTGAAAATCTTTTGTTATCGATGCCTGCGGTCCTTTTTGATATTTCATTCTGCTTCTGAGCATATTTTAATAACGTTGGTTACGCAATCTTTCTTAATACCTATGTGTAAAGTTGATGGTTATTATGTAATACAAACAGCCAACCGAGGCAGTTAGATAATCTACAGAGGTGAGATTATCCATCTGCCTCGGTGACAGTCATTTGTTATGTTAAGACCGAAAGGATTAAATTTTTCCCGTAATGGGCAGGCAGTTGATGCAATTTATAATGGAGCACGCATATATTTCCTAATGTTTCCCTTAACTTTCCTAAAATTTTCTTGTACTTACACGAAAATTATCGTGACCATAACAAATAATTCGGTCAAGCCAGTGCATAGCCCCAGGAATTTGGGAAATTTTAACATTATTTCACGTACATTTATGGATAGATATTATTGACATATTTTCATCATTTTCTAACAGTGAAAACTTATGTGTTTCTATATGTGAGATTAAGATGCTGTTTAGAATTGGCACTTTACAATATTTCAGCACTATTCCTGTGAAAAATATCAATATACTAAATCAAAAATTGTTCTTAGCTTAGCTTAAGGAACCTTTTTATCACAATAAAGAAATAAGCAAAACCAATAATGACGAAATCAACATGTCAAGCTTATGTCAACGTTGTACTAATTAACCTTTTTTCTTCTTCCACAGATTACTGGACATTAAGAAAACACACAGACGGTGCTTCCAGCGATAAGGAAAACTAGTTGAAAATCAACCTATTTCAACTTTAAATTATAAATTATAAGTTATAAGTAATTTTATATATAATACTTATAGTAGTTTAGAAGATTAAAAGTTCAACTTTGTGTAAAAAGCGTGTTTTTATAAGTTATTATTGTAAACAAAGTTATTTGTATTTATAATTAAATTAATAAATAAGTAATTAGTAATCATTAAGGGTGCATGGTGTTCCTATGAATATCTATTTCTTTTTCGTAGATTTTTTTAAAGTATTGATCAAGAAAATTGTTTGGATGATAAAAACTTTTGGATGTAATTAGAGGCTAAAATTATTTGAAAAAATCGTAATTAAAAAGATTTAAATAATATTTAACAAAATTTCTATTTAAGTAACTGTGTGGATTCCATGGGAAACTTAGATGAAGGAAACATGAAATATTTGTAAATAGTGTCATACAAATATATACCTTCTTCTGTCCATGCATAAAGGGTAAATTCTCCTGTAAGTAACGTTATGCTGCTTCCTCTTCAACTGAAAAAACCTCATAATAAAATTTACTAACTACCTGAAGAAAATATCAAGTTCTTAGTAAGTGAAATGATGGACTAAATTGAAGTTTGTCTTCACTCGTTCAATCAGAATATTTTCTGCCAAGAAATCATATTCATAAGTTGATATCGTCACACCACATCACCAGTCTAAAAGTGCCTACTTCAAACAAAGGCCTCTTCTCACTCAGAGAAGATATGAGCATTAGTCACCATGTTTGCTCAGAGCGGATTGTCGATTCCAAACTTTTAATTAGGAACTATCCATACCATAAGACCAAGATTCATGTCGAGAAAGAGGGATGGAGCTATACACCTTTTATAGCTTCATCCCTCTTTCTCGCCCGGAAGATACACGCTTTAACACGTCATAGTAGGCCCTCAGTAGTGGTTAAACATCTAAGAAATCACCCCTTCACCCCCAAACCCTAATGCAAAATGCCGGCTTCTTAACCTACGGCTAATATGTAACACCAAGTAGTTTTATTGATGAGGTTTTTTTTTGTTTTCAAGCAGCAGTTTCTTAGGTTTTTATAATTGATTACTTATGTAAATCAGCCATAATTTTGACTGTCTTAAGATCTCTTGTTAATCTGACTGACACGTTTAATTTTTTTAATATTTTGTTAAGAATACAGCTGAATACTCACTCAAAAAATTTAAGGTACCTCTAAGTTAACTTATAACTTAAAGTGAGTGACTTTGAGTTGACTTATAAATGAGTTTTGAAGTGATTTTGAGGTAAATTAAAATTTATTTTTGAGTATTCGGATGAGTAAACTTATAATACCTAAAACTTTTTTAAAATAATTCTTATTGTTTTGTAACTTATTCATTCTGTAATTAATTGTCGTAAACGATTGTCATATGCCAGGAATGTAATGGAAGCAGTGTTAATTATTATGTTTAAATTGTTCTTAATACTGAAATGACACTCTTAATTAAGCTTATCTTTGTTATAAATACTCTTCATCTCTTGGTAAAATATTGTCTAGGTCCACAATCCACACTGATATTTTACTGAGAGATGTTTCACATTGTAATAGAAATGTCGACATAAGCGATAAAAAATCTGTGATTTTATGCAACTTTGACGCGATAGGATGCGCAAATAAATTCGCGTGAATTTTTTTTTGCTATGTTGACATTACCTTACAAAAAAATTGCTTTATTCTTTCAAAACTGGTCAAAAATTAAAAGCTATACATTACATTATTATTTGGAAAAATTAAGGCCTGTTTCAAATAAGTGCCCCATAAAATTATTGTGGTGCAAGTTAATAGAAATGACGTACTATATTCAAATGATTCTGGTAATTAACGATAAAAAATAGAGTGTCATTTGACTATTAAAACAAAAGAAATATTAAAAAAAAATTACTAAAGTAGTCAAGTTGCGCAAATAATTGTGTTTGTAAATTAACGCAACTTGGTATTAAAAAAAATATAAGTAACCTAAGTGTATCTTCATGTAGAATCTAGTCTATGATCTCTGCAATAACGTTTGTCTATGGTCACTGTTAGTGGTCCTTCTTCCTAATTAATCTGTCCTTTAGCATATAAGTGTGTATACCTAGATGATTTAGAAACAGTTTTTTATTTAGATACGAATTAACAAAACAAAAAATAGTACTTTTTGTGTCCAAATAAATAAACTGAATTGAATTTTATATGGTTTTTATTTTATCTGTATTCCTTGTATAGACTTTTTGGCGAAGAAGGTGCTATGTAGCTGGCTGAACACAGTTCATATTTAGAAGCTACAGTAAAAGTCTAGCTTTTTTTTATAACATGCGAGAGTAAGCATTATATTTCAATTAATGTAGCCTGTGTCACTTACACAGTTATATAGTCACAAATTATGAATGTACTAGCTTTCGCCCGCGTATTAGATGAAAAGGAATAGGTGCCCGTTAATCCACAGTATCAACTATTCAAACAAATAAACTATTTAGGTAGGTACATTTAATTACGACGCGAAAGCGTACTTATTTTTGTAAAGTACATAAAAAATGCTTATAAAAATACTGATTCTCCTCTAAAAAGTAGACAGAGAGCAATATAGCTATGTAAGCAATTAGGTATAGCTGTATTATATATGACCTATCCGAATACATTTAAACAATGGAATCAGTCGAAATCTAATAATATTTTGTATGTGCACCACGAAGAGGTAGTTTAAAAATTACCGGATTGAAGTAGAACAATCATATGGCAACACTGAGCTAGAGGTGCAGTTGCCATATCAAAAAATCATCATCATCAACAGCCTAAAGTGCCCACTGCTGAGCAAAGGCCTCTTCTCATACGGAGAAGGTTAGAGCATTAATCAGCACGCTTGCTCAAATCAATGGGGGTTGGCATTTCACACTTATAATATCTAAATATATCAAAAAAGTGTAGGAGAGCCATGCTTCGGCACGAATGGGTCGGCTCGAGTGATACCACGGCCTCACAGAAAACCGGCGTGAAACAGCGTTGTATTTCGCCGAGTGAGTGAGGTTACTGGAGGCCCAATCTTTCCCCTTCCCCAATCCCTAAATCTTCAAATCCCTAATCCCTAAGCAACGCACTCGTAACTCCTTACCATCAGGTAATCCGTCTGCTAGTTTGCCGACCTATTACAAAAAAAAAAAAACGTTGTCCCTATAAAATATGAACAACTATTGTCATATGGAAAATACTCTGTCCTTATAAGACGTTACTATAGCTCATGGTACTCATAATACTGTAGGTACATGCAGGAATGTCCTTGTCAGACGTGACGATTTACTGAGGGAAATAGGTGACCCAGGGAGACCCAAGTTGGCAGTCTACCAACTTGAATTGAAGCTACGAATACTAATAGAGGCTTGAATTTGTTTTGTATATATGTAAATATGTAACACCTTTGGACTGCCGTTGAACTGAGGATCGTAAATGTTGAAGAAGAATCCATGGCTTGTATCTATCGCTGAGTTGGTAAGGAAATTATTAAGATCTTTCCAGCTACCGCAAATGTTTTTTTATTGTTTTTCAAGAAAGCTAACAGACTAAAACAATAATAGTTAGTATTATACAGTTATCAAATCGCTAATGACAAGTCTTCACAGATAATAGAAACATTTCGATTACAATAATTAACAATAAGTTGGCACTTAAGTATGCTATCATGGGTATTTTAAATCATTACCGGTGTATGGTTAGAAGTTCATCCTCAGTCACGTAGTTAGATATTTTTTTTTGTGTGTACCTACACACAAAAAAAAATATTTGTTGTGGGGAAATATATCAAATAATCAATATAATCAAACCAATCAATCAGTAGTGTACCGCGACCCCGACCTGAAGCTAGAGAGGAAACGATTTTTGCGTGGACTCAGGAATAGTGTGGCACACCCTCTCGCCCAGGGAATGGCTACATCATTGCGATTGACCCGCAAACCCATAATGCCTATGCAGTACCTATTTTACGTTGTCAGCTATGTTGATCAAAGACTAACCAACTCCGTGTGAGCTCTTTTCACACGGAGTTGGTTAAAGTGCCAGTCACCACGCTTGATCACCAATCGGCGATTATAAACTTATAATCTGAACTAATATCTATATACTATATGTTTGTCAGTACATTTATCGAGGAAGAATTTCGGCTATAAAACAACAAGCTATGATTTGTAGAAGCCGAGCAGCGAGTGAAACCGCGCGACAGAAGCTAGTAAGATATTATATAAGCCTAGGTTCATGACGTTTTCCTTCAACGTAAATCAGTCTGGAACTGGAAAAAATGTCACATTGGTAATGGATAAATCTCGAACCTTCACCCTCATGTAAGTATGACAAGCGGGTGCCTTAACCTCCAGGACACCATAAAAGTAAAAAACAAACAATAGGTATCCAATAAAAATCGTCCTGGAAATTCTTCAGCAGACTTCCTCCTACAAAGCATGGGTTACAAAATTTGGGGAGTCTCTCACGCGACAAACGAATAAGCGATGCATTTCTGTCCGAGGTTCCGCATACTTATTTCAAAGATGGAAATACATCTTTATTCATAACTTATTATGATTTATTTTCCCGCACACGATGCGTTGTGAGAAAAAATGTAAGATTCGTTTGACTTGAATTCTGGTAAATGTCGATTTCATTATAATCGAGCTGTTTGGATGTTTACTTAAGCGAAATTGGTTTGTTGATTACCTACCTAAATCTTTAAATTTTCAATAGCCTACCCCATCCTGGGTAGGGTGAGAGAGTAAGTAGATATGTACCATCTTTTGAAAGAAGAAGAAGAGAAGGAAATTCAGTAAATGACCCCAGCAAGTACATTTGATATAACATTATTGTCTACCCCTTCTAGACCCTGGCGCAAAAACATAGCTATTACAATTTTGATATCTCTGTCTGTGGCATTGAGCTCCTAAACAAGTCAACCTTTTAGAATGTGATTTGAATTGAATTGTACACCTAACCATAGTACTATACTAGTACCTAACCATTTTATTCATCATACCTAATTTTCTCGAATAAGTAAGTACAGAATAGTAAAAAATGTGATGACATTAATTTTTAATGTCGATTCGACTATTTATTTCAAAACATTAGACAAATTATTTTTTCTTTTTATGCGGAACGCGACGGACGTTCGACTTTTGAATCCAAAATAAGTCAGGCAGCCAGTTATCTTTTTTTTTTTTATTTGCAATAAACTAGTGCTTGACTGCGATCCCACCTGATGGTAAGCAGTGATGCAATCGTTGATGGTAAGGCGCACTAGTTTATTAAGAGCCTATTCACTCTAGCCTTGAAGACACCTAAATTGTATTATATTAAAAGGACGGAAAGACTGCAACCGGC